TGGGAGCAGCCTGCGAACAGGACGTGCCAGGTCCCGAGTTGAACCCGATCTAAAATTAACCTTCCCTTTACATTTTCACGGGGAGAAAATGGTTCCTTTGACATGTACTTATCCAAGCTGGTTCAAATAACGGTACTAAACACATAAACTTAGGAAGCATCCTAGGAAACACAATCATGTAATGCTGTGTTAAAGTCAGAACTCGGACATCAGGCACCTGCGCTATCTAGGCCCAGCATAAAGAGTTCGAATCCGGTGCCCTGCATCTTGCATATACATTTTTTCTAATTTGGGGAAGGGGAAGGAAAATAACAAAATGCTGAAACAAGGATGCAGGTTGAGAGTTGGGGAGGTGGGGGAGGGAGGGACGGTAGGGGAAAAACAAAGGAGCCGGTAGCAATGCTCCATAGGAAATGGACTCATTACCTTACTCATGTAACGGTGACCTCTCTGTACAGTATCTTTACAATAAAAATGTGGGGGAAAAAAGAATTCGTCCAATTGACACTGTTTTGATGAATTACATTGTACCTGCATGTAAGCTACAGATAGGTTGTTAGTAGTAGGGGTGGAAAGTGAACAAGTAGTAAATAGAAATTTAGGCTCAGCTAGTACTCTGTCATTTGGAGCAATTCCTTAATCAGTGACTTTTTTTTTTCCATTTCATTCGTTCGGAATAACAATATCTTATCACCTATTATGAATGGCTTAAACTATGATATCTGTGAAAGTGATTGAAACCTTTTTTAATTTTTACATGTTTTGTATTATATATTACATAGAATATATAAAATTATATGTATTATATACATATAATGTATGTATATTATGTTATTGTATATATACATTATATATGTATACTATATACATATATGAATAATATAGGTAACGTATATAATATATGTAATGTATGTTACATAAAATATACAAAATTAATTTATAATTTTATATAATGCCTGCTAGTTACCTCACAAGATGAAGATAAAATCAGTTTCTTCTTCCTGTCATTCACCCCACAGTTTTACAGATACCTTTCTAAAGTTCAAATCCGATAATGATCACTTCCTAACTTGAAACAGTTCACTTGTGTTCTATATTTCCCAAGTAAGCCAAAATTGCTTAAGACTGCATAAAAAACATTCAGTAATATAATGTCATCTACAGTTCCAATCGTTGTCTAAAAATCTTGACACTCAGGTGGGTGCTAGTGGGTCACAACTGCAATCTTAGCTATTCAGGAGTCTGAGATCTGAGGATCACTGTTCAAAGCCAACCACAGCAGAAAAGTCCATGAGACCCTTAGCCACGAAAAGCTGGAAGTGAAGTTGTGGCTTAAGTAGCAGAGCACTAGCCTTGAGCACAATAGCTCAGGGACAGTTCCTGGGACCTACAAAAACAAACAAAAATCTGCTGTCCCTGAGCTTTATTGCCCAAGGCTAGCAATCTACCACTTAAGCCATAGCTCCATTTCTGGGCTTTTTGGTGGTTATTGGAGATTCAGTTCTCAAAAAGTTTCCTGTACAGGCTGTCTTCAGTCCACCATCCCAGATCTCAACCTCTTAAGTGGGTAGTATTACAGGTGTACTGAGTCACTGGCTAGAACTCATCTCATTTGTCAAATGTTTCTTGATGGCCATTAGCACTTACTACATCAAGTTGTGATTTTTCATTGATATGCCCTTTGGTACTGGATTATGAAAACTTCAATATAAAGACATTTATATTCATTCATTTACAATGGTTACCAGTGCCTGGTATACATTAAATTTTCAAACATTATTTGTTGAATAAATTATTAAATACATCAACAAATAGTTGCTAGCCATCTGTTTAATCTTCCATGACTCTCAGATCTTGATTAATTTCCTCTCATGTGCTCTTATAGCTTATGAAATATGACCTTCATAATATTTATTCTGCTGTAGTTGCCCATTTATTTCTCAGCTGGAAAACTGCTTTTTTTTTTTTTAAAAAAAATGGGTATCCTTAGCACTAAACATGTTGCTAATTATATGGGAATTGTTCAATAAATGCTTGCTAAAAACAATTTCAGTTCTTAAAAATTCTTAGAATTAAAGTGTACTCTCCCTTTCAATTAACTAAGTCTCTGTCAGTATAAACATTTTTATTTTCCAAAGAAGAGAGTGGAAAGAAGGAAAGCTTAAGAATAGCTGCCTTAAGAGGCATGTGGATGATGAATTATTAGTACTAATCAAATATATGAATCCTGGAAATGCTAGGTGTTAATGGACTGTTGCAGAAGGCCAAGTTTGAGGTCATTTATGACTTCACAGCAAGTGACAGTGGCAAAATGCTTGCGCATGGCTGGTTAGATATTTCAGAACTAGTGAGAAGACTGTGAAAAGTTCATTTCCTAAAACTTTGACAAGAAGGCCAAACAAGAGTTACTACTTGGGTGTAACACATACTAGTCACAAGAATTTCTACAGGAAAAATCAGGATTGTGTTGTAGCTGTATTAAATCTCCATTTGTGATAAATTTTCTAGAATCCACCTAGTCACCTAATTATGGGTGAAGAGTCCAAATTTACACATTTTCTTTCATTTTAGTACTAAAAGTCCTATTCTCCAAGGGCTCTCTTAAACCCAGTCAAACAGGGAAGATTGTTGGCCGCATCTGCAGTCTCTGCCAGTTATTGCTGTTATACAGGTGCTTTCTTATCTCAGAAACATACTTTGTAGTGACCAGTATTGACATATTGACAGACTATCCAAACATTTTAATGCAGCTTTAGCTTTCTCACAACAGAATGGAAAGATTCCAGTAGAGGCACTTCACCAGCTCTATGGTGAATAAGAGGAAACTGGGTATCCTACTTTAAGTCTTGACTAATCAGGATATTCAAAGCCACAAAGCAGAGCAGAGGGATGATGATAAGAAAAACAATGTGGATCTAGACAATTTGAAGTCAACAGGAAAATGCTTCAAACATATGGGCTTGTACACTATAGCTTATTAAACTTAGTATCATTTTTTTTTAGAAATTGTGCCACAATTTCTTTCTCTCTTATTTTTTGTCAGTTATAAAGCTTTGTCAGTTATAAGCCTGGGTGCTGTCCTTGAGCCTCTTTGTGCACAAGGATAGTGCTCTCCCACTTGAGCCACAGCACCACTTTTTGAATGGTTAATTGAAGATGAGAGTATCATGGAGACTTTCCTGCCTGGGTTGGCTTCGAACCATGATCCTCAGATCTCAGCCTCCTGAGTAGCTAGGATTACAGGCATGAGCCAACCTATGCTCAGCTAAATACAGGCCCTTAATGGTGCTGTTATTTCTAGGAATGGTAAATGCAGGTTCTATTCTATGAATAGTGAGTACAGATTTTCATGTATAAATTACATGATAAATCTATATTTTCCATTATGGTGCCAGCATGTAAAAAGAAGGTTATCTGATTTTAAAGCCCTACATTTAAGCCAACAGAAAAATATTACGTATGCATCAAGGCAATGAAGTTCCTAGCAACCAATAATATCAGCATAATGCTTCCATGGTAATATGAAATGTTGAAACTTGACAAAAGAATCTAATATTTGGTGCTCAGTAGAGATGTTACCATTGAATAGGAGTGAAAGGAAACACATTTATTCTCTAGTATTTTCACAAAACATTAATGCAACGCCTGGAAAATAAATGTTATTATTTGTGACTTTTGGAGCACTGAAAGCTGAAGCTATATTCTGTGCTGCTTTGAGACCAATTTAATTCTGTGGGGCAATATACAATTTTCAGCAACTTTCTCTGTAGTCTTACTCAGCTGTGAGAAAAAAGAAAGGTAAAGGAGATGGAGGGAATTTAGATCAGATTCTCTTAGGTTCACAATCAGTATATTTAGAACACTTCCACTTTGACTTTTTCCATGGCTTTGTTTAGGATTTAACATACAGTGGTCCTCAAGGAGTCCAAAGGAAACCTTGTTTCCCAAGACATGTTTGATATGCCTGGAATTGGGTTCCTGGGATCCCAATGCAAAGGAGTAGCTTTTCCTTCCGTCTCTCTTCCCACCTCTCAAGTCTATAACTTGGCATCTTCATTGTTTTCTGTAGTACAATTACCATGCAAAATGCAATCAGGCCTCTCATAACCACCCACTTGCTTCATTAGGTCACAGGCAGACTAAGGCTTTTGGAGACCAGATGAAAATTAAGACTATTTTACTAAGTATAAAAAAGTACAATAAATGTTTTCCATGACTATGTTAGTAATTTTTATAATACCAGTGTCGACAATGAACACAGAATTTTAGCCCCACTTCTACAGCCACACAGACATCAAAATGTTTTGGGTTTTTCTACTCACCCTAGAGCCTTATTAAGTAATTGAGCACCTCAGCCCTAGAGTATTGTTTGCACTAGATAGATCACATGGGACTTGATAGTAGGTGTTATGTGCTAATTTATAGCCCCTCAGAATTCATAGATGTTGAAATCTTACTCCCTTGGTGACTAAACCTGTGGAACAGGCACTTTAAGATATGATTAGGATAAATGAGGGCATGTGAGTGGACTCAATATAGTATGACTGATATTAGGAGACAGATAATACACAGATTGAGTGACTATGTGAGGGCCCAGAGAGAAGACAGAATTTGAAAGCCAAGAAGACAGGCCTCAGAGGAAACTATCCTTATCAACACCTTGATTTTCTACTGGTTGCCTCCAAAACTGTGAGTGGCCTGGTGCTGTGCTAAGTTCTAGGCTGTGGCAGCCTCCCACACTAACATGCTAGGTGAACAATGTAGCATTCCAGCTATTCTTTGACTTCTTGGTCTTAGGCATCATTGTGGGCCTAAACTGAAGAGTTTACCATACTCACTGAATTCTGTGATTGAAGCTGCTGGCCATCTACTCATATATGGCCTGAAGCCAGCCTCTATTCCTTCCTCACTCTGGTTTTACCTGTTCACTTTTTCTCAGTTGCACACTGTTATTACCGTAAACCCTGTAGCAAAGACAGCTAATGTCTGCTCCATATGTTCATGACCTCAACTACGCCATAAGATCTGGTCATCCCCCTCATACCCAACTGCAATGCACTTGTTTTTTTTTCTATCAAACACATTTGTTCCTAAAGTGAGGAGCTCCTAAAGGATAGCTAGAAGAAACTGAAATATTTGCAGTAGAAAAATCATGGACACTACTAAAAACTCAAATACAGTCATAGCTGAGTTACTCCAACAGCACTATTCCAGCATAGAAGAAATTAACTGCATTCTCTTAACATTGCTCAATAGATATGCACAAGGATGAATCAAACATTTCAGGACTCCAGTCCTCAAGATCTTCCTGAATGGATTTATGCACACATGAAAAGAATTCACACCCAAAAAAAGAATTCACATCCTTTCTTTAAATATAAATTAAAATATATATAAAAGAGCAGCAGCATTTAATTTCAAAGGAAAGTAAAACAACACAAAAACAGGCAACAAAATAGACCTCCTTCTATGTGCAAGGTACTGGATTCTGGTATTGAGAATCTTAATGTCAGTCCTCACTTCAAACATTATATCGAAAAAGCATGACAGGAAGATGAGTCACCTTCAATATGAAGGATGTGAGTTGTGTTCACTGACAACAATCTTGAAGGTAGAGCAGTACTCGAGGAACAATGCCAATGAGTGGGCCTTTGTATAAGGTCAGAAACTCATGCATTGTAAGATATTGGGTTAAACAACTACATTATTTTTGGTTTAATCAGACACTTGTAAAGAACCATCTTTGACATATGTGGATTCCTGTGTGCTGTTAGCCACTAGAAATGGCATGAATAGTTAGCTACAACATTCTATACCAAGAACCCAAGTACAATGCCTTGATCACAAAGTCATTTGTCATATTAGGACTTCAAAGACAGCTTCAGTTAAACTTGTCCCAAACCGTGACTTAAAAAAAAGATAGACCATGATTAAACAGAAAGGCTTTACTTAAGGTCTTGAGTCTCCAAAATTATAGTTCATCTTCCCCAAACACCATCCAATATCCTAAAAGTTTATTTGGCTTTTCTCCACAAGAATACATAGAATAGACCTCTTCCCTCTCTTCTGAGTTATTTCTCCAGGAGAAATAGTTGTAAACCCAACTTCAAAACATAAAAATAACCTTACAGTTTCACCAACAATTAAATGTTCAGACTTCCACTCCTACTCTGACTCAAGCCTCAGAGCTATTTGCATACCCTTTCACACACTCTTCCCCACACCATTAACACAGATTTCCATCACTATCAACTGTTCTTCTTCAACTTTTTCTTGCTCAATGTGAAAGCTAGTAACTGAGAGGGAAGACGGGAAGAGCACTGGAAAGTAAAAGAAGATTACTTAAACAGAAATAATTCTCAGGCAGTTACTTGATCATCTAGAACAAAATGATGAGTAGAATTATCTGCCTGGACAACAACACTAACTTCTCAAGTGGCTCCTATTTTTCTGTTGCCAGGCCGTGAAGGTTCAAACCTAAACCTATCAGTAGAAAGTAGCAAAGGCTTCCTAATATTGAGCAATACAGATACAGAATTGCATGGGGACTACCACAGGTCAAGATCAGTCACTAGGTTGCTTAATTCATCTAAAAGAGGCCAAATTCTCCAATCTCCCCCTCAGACTGCCAAAGATTGATTCCAACTCAGTCTGGGGGGGGCATCTGGTTGAATGCACAGTCCTGGGGTGCCATCTGTGTCTGCACCCCATTCGGTTGCCACTGCACATGAACAATTCTGTAATTCTGGCCCTTGTTGTTGTCCCAGAAGACTTGCCCATTAGCTTGATATGAAATGCAGAACTCAATTTTCTCCTCAATTGGGATGATAGAGGGTAAATCAATGGCAAAGGAGAAGGTGTCCCTATCTGAGCTGCCGTACACATTCTTCATGTAGACACAGTCCACATCCATATAGCTTTTCCATGAGTCAAACGTAATGCGGACCTGAACCTTCTTTTCAAAGCTCATGTTTTTCACTTTGATTGCCCCAGTCACTGTTCATTCTTGCAAAGAGCAATTCTCCAGACGGACAAGGCTCTTCTGAAAATGATTCTGGAAATTTACGTAATCAGTTGAAGGCTGAAGAAAATCTAAAATCAGGATTTTCTCCTCATGGAGTTTTAAACCAGAGGAGATATCATTAAGGTCCAAGAGATCAAGCTGGAGGTCCCATGCAGGTTCTTCTGGAAGGTCAGAGAAAACATGGACTGCAGTGAGAGATAGGCCCTTGGAGTCAGCAAATACAACCCGCTTCCTGGCTTGGTTGTGTGCGTGTTTCCATTCTTTCTGTGATTTGGCTTCTTGTCTGAGGTTGAGACATGATTTCAAAGACTTCAATTTATTCACAAAATTTTTTCGTTGAAAGTCATTGTAAGGGCCCAAGAAACTCTTCAGAGGTGGCGAATGAGCCAGGCAAAACCTCATGGCCATATCCACTGGCATGACTGAACTCGTCAGAGGACGTGAGTCCAAATCCTGGATCATTCTGGTGCAGCTCATGAGGCTGGGAGGCAGCAGCAGATCGACAGAGCCCTCACCCTCACTCTGACCCATAGCCTTTCCAGTAGACTGCCTGCAATGCACTGCAAAGTATTTTACTAAGACAGTTTACTAACAATGGTGGAATAAAGTAAGAAACACATTTAAATGATCAATATTTTTAATAACTAATACTTATAACTAACTTTAATAACTAATACTTTAATACCTAATACTTTAATAACTAATACTTATTAATGACACATCCAGGTATTATTATTGAAAGCTTTAGCCTATATTAAATATCTGCATGATACTTGTCAGTAGCTATAAAAGGCTTAATGAACATGTATTAAATCCTTGATACTTGAGAAAAAGTTGACTGCTGATGTTTTGAATATTAAATACTTTTTTTTTTTGGTCGGTCGTGGGGCTTGAACTCTGGGCTTGGGCGCTGTCCCTCAGCTCTTCAGCTCAAGGCGAGCACTCTACCACTTGAGCTACAGCACCACTTCCGGCTTTTTTTCTTTTTGCTTATGTGGTGCTGGGGAATCGAACCCAGGGCCTCAGGCATGCAAGGCAAGTGCTCTACCACTGAGCCACCTTCCCAGCCCTCATTCCTACCCTTTTTAATTTTCTTTTTCATCTGGATATGGATGGGGAATGAATGATAGGCAGCAGTTAGACTTTCTGAGAAAGAAATTGCATAAGGGTTGTGGGGATGGCCAAGCGGAATCTCCTTTTTTAACCCCATTCTTGCTCCTACTTCCCACCTTTCTCAGCACATCAAGGTTCTCAGTCTATTGGGATTTGTGGGTACAGAATAGTTTTCTCCTTCTGCCTTTCCTATGTGTATACTCAATAGCATCTACCTTTGCCTTATCAGACACTAATTCATCAGCTGAGCACAGTCTTCTCAAAATTTTTTTCAATTTTTGTATTGTATGCCTTTTCTCCAGTCTCCTCTTCATTGCTGGCTTACACCGTATTTTTTGGTGTATAGTTTTTACTCCTTTTTTTTTTTTTGAGAAAGTGAGGACATACATAACTTAGGAGCTATGACTTTCATCTTTAACTTTTGGGAATGAAGGAAATGACTGTTAATGCTGATGTATCTGCTTGTTCAATCACGATATATTTCTTAACAGTTTACTGAATCTGTGTCTTTTACTGAAAATAAAATAATGAATTAATCAAAGTTTTTGTGCTTGATGACTCCAAATGGAGCATGTAGGAGTGGGAAAGGGGAGTCTGACTTTACCTCTGAGGGCAGGTTTTCTAGTAAAGAGAGTCAAAATTAACATCTACATGCTTACTAAAAATGAGATGGATTGGTGAAAATGAGGTGAAAGAAACTGTTTCAGGAAAAATCAACTGCATTTACCAAGTCTAAGACCTAGAGAAGAGGATGAATGGTGCTGAACGAAAATGAAAGAATCATGGTGATTCCAATGGGAGGTGAAAAGAAACAGCAACTGCAATGTGACAGGAGACTCATAAAGCAGGACAGATGGTTTCCTGGGGTTAGAGCAAAGAGAAGAGAATATTCTAGGCTCTATTTGGAGAGAGAGGCAAAGGCAATGACGATGAAGGAAACTGATTTTGGAAGTTATGACAACTGCTTAGAGCAGAAGTGTTGGCAATTTGAACTCGAATTGCAGACATGAGATGGACATGAGAGCAAGTCAGGTGGGAGTTGTGTAGAGGTTAGCGCAGTGGTCTGGATGATAGATGAGACAAGGAAAGAGAAAGGGAGAGTTTTCCAAGGAGGACTTCCAAGTCTCTTGGTATCATAGATAGAACACATGAGAAATTTGGACAATAAGAATATAATGGGAGGCTGGGAAGGTGGCTCAGTGGTAGAGCGCTTGCTTTGCATGCATGAGGCCCTGGGTTCGATTCCTCAGCACCACAGAAGCAGAAAAAAAAAATAAACCGGAAGTGGCATTGTGGTTCAAGTGGTAGAGCGCTAGCCTTGAGCTGAAGAGCTGAGGGACAGCGCCCAGGCCCAGAGTTCAGGTCCCACCACCGACCCCCCCCCCCAAAAAAGAATATAATGGGTCTGAACTTGCTGGTTTGAAATGCCTTTGAAAAATACAAGTAGAAATTCTGAGTCATCTTTTAATATTCACAGATGAGATCCATGTTGTAGGTACTAATTTAGAGTCCTTGTATATCACAATTAACTAAGATGTCACTTTTAAATATGATTTATTAGAAAGAGAGATTATGTGTTGAGAAGAAAGGAAGGCATAAAGATGTTCTAATATGCTTTCAAGACATGGTAACAAGATGGTAAGAAACTACCTCTTTTCACTTAAAAATATATTTACAAACAATAAAGACTGTTAGAAAATAAGTTGAGAGCTGGGCGGTGGTGGCTCACACCTATAATCCTAGCTACTCAGGAGACTGAGATCTGAGGATCATGGTTCGAAGCCAGCCCAGGCAAGAAAGACCATGAGACTCTTTATCTCCAATTAACCACTAGAAAACCAGAAGTGGCGCTGGATCA